TCCGGGGCTTTGCCCCGGTCCTTGACTTACTCAAACTTCCTTTGGTGAGGACCCTACCCTTTCTTCGCTCATTAGTGAAGGTGACCAGAGCCGTGGCTCTATGTATCTAATCTATGATCCTAGGTACAACAGCAATATAGAGAGTAACTGAGAGTGAAAGATAAATCGTTCAAATGATGCAAAATTTTTCGTAATGCAGATGCATAATTTTCTCAAAAAGGTCCTAACATTTTGGGAAGCTGTTATAAGAATTTCCCAAACTGAACATTATCTGATTGCTATTGACTTTTTTGAATTCCAAACATTTTCTAGGCTTTAATGAATCATTTTGAAGCACTAGCTTGAACTTAGGCATTCACCCAAAAACGGATCGTGATTCTTATTTCATTATGGGATGTAAGTGAAGTTGTATGTGGCATTTTAGCCGGCGTAAATGACTTGCTGTAACATTGGCAAAGCTTTAAAGAACTTGCTCAGCCCAAGCGCATTCTGCTTCAGCCAGCCCTGAAGCAACATACAACATTCTATCGTCATCTTATCACGGGGAAAGAGGTAGAACTTCTAGTAGGCTCTTGAGACCTTGGGGAAAAGATTATTGACAATCAATGATCATACTTTTCAAGACATCCCGTATATAGCCATGCGAACGGCAGATTTTTTTGCCCTTTTTTGGGCTTGAAAAAAACGAAATGGAAAAGAACAAACAACTTTGAAAAATAAATTCATTCGACAACCCAATAGTTTGCAAGCAACATTATCTTATAGAAGGGTGAGGGCGATACGCAGACATCGACTTCTTTCGATGACTTGGTTGGTAATCGGCTTCTGGAGCGGAGTTACCAATGATTTTTATACTGTATAGCGAGCTCATTCCAGAGATTGTAAACGAAATATTAGGATTTGAAAAAACAATTATGAACAGCTCAATACAGTCCTGAACAGGGTGGTCATTGCTGCATATATGATTTGCCCCTCATACATTGATGCAAAAAAACTCAACAAACTTTTATTTGTACAATATAGCAAGTAGCGGCAGTTCTATAAGATAAAAAAGGAGGTCAACAACAACTGGTTTTCTCTGCGACCCTCTATGAAATTAAAAATGTATCTGTTCCGAGAATAAAAAGTGGTCAGTTGGACTAAGGAGTAATAGATAGGACTGGTTCAGATGAGAGTTGATATGAGAGGTGCATTGCTTCTCCAACTAGAATCATTAAGAATGTGACGAGAAAGACCACTAATGAAAATACGATAAGTAGCAGTCTGTCCAGCACAGTGGCCAGGTATTCCCATTCTAAAGCGTACCTAAAAATAAGAATTTTAATTGAACTCCCTCTGTATGTAAATTGAATGAGACCTACCTTCTTTTCAGTTTGCTGTCAAGTAAACTATTCTCTGTTGTGCTGAGTGTGGATAGGCATTGCATTAAAGGGGGCGCTTCAACTTCCTTTTGAATTGAAGTTCGCTGTTGCTGAGAGGGTCTCGCTGTATAGGGTTGCATAAAGGCTACATAAGGTCATTAAAAAACAACTCAGCCTTACCATCACCGTT